CTCTCTCTCTCTCTCTCTCTCTCTCTCTCTCTCTCTCTCTCTCTCTCTCTCTCTCTCTCTTTCCTTCCTTTTGATAGGGAGCAGCATTGGGGCCGCCCGTTTTCACCCCACACGAGGACTGGCGGGACTCGAACCCGCGACCTTCGGATTAGGAATTAGTTGTTGTTAGTAGGTTAGTTGGGACTTGAGCTCCCCGCTATAACAGGGGCCCGCCACTTGGCGAGCCAAGGTAGTTAGAGGCTAGATTTTGTTTGAATTTTCTTTTCTTTCTTTTTGAATTTTCTGCCTTCTCTTTTCACTTTTTTTTCTTTTTTTTTTTCTTCTCGTTAAGTTTATTTTTCGTTTCTTTTTTAATTTACCTCAATTCTTGGTTGAATCCATTCCCGAGAGAAACACTGGATACCCCATCGCTAGGGCAGTACTTCGAGCGGAGCTAAGCCAGGACTGTACCTCGCTCCGCGATAGCAAGTCAAACATCGGCTTGCTCGGGCGACGTGGTGAGAGCTAGGCAGAGGGAGGGAGTAGAGACTTAGTAGGAGAGCGGAGAGCGGAGAGCGAGCGAAGCAAGGCAGTGAGCGCAACTACTAGCGGACAAGTGTCCGAGCGGAAGTAGACGAACAAAGTAGTCGGCGTACCGGCGCGCTAGTACGTAAGCGGGCTAACGGAGGATGCGCAAACAGGAGCAAGCGCAGGTGGATGAAGGTTGCGCGCAGTCTTGAATGATGAGGGTGAATGCGGTATCATAATCGTCATCGCAAGGCACTCGCATTTCTATCGCCACCGGTGTAAGGGCGCGATCTTGAGGAAAGAGGCATACATGGGTTGAGAAGGAGGAAAAAGGAAAAAAAGAAGAAGAGGGAGAAAAGAAGGAGAAAGAGGAGGAAGGATGGAAATGGAGAATGGGAGCGGGAAGGTAGCAAAGGAGAGAACGACGAAGGGGATGAGGCAGAAGGTGAGGAGTCAGTGACAGAGATGACGATTACGGTAAAGGAGACTATAACTACAGGGAAGACCAACGGGAGAACAAACAGGGAACGACGGAGTGACCGCGCGGTGGGAGCAGCAAGATAGCAGCGAGCGAAGAAGATAGCGAAATAAAATAGCGGGAGAAGTGGTAGGAGAAGGAGAGAAGGAGAGAAGAAGAGGAAGAAGAAGAAGAAGAGGTAGAAGAAGGAGGAGGAGGAGGAGAAGGGAAGAGGGTGTGATGGCGACTTACCTGTTGCCCATTCTTGACCTCGGCACCCTTATCTCGAAGAAACCAATCGAGGTTTGGTAATCGTGTTGCCTCCGAGGCCACGCTCGCTACCCGCCCGACTTGCTAGAACGCACGCATATGTCGGTCGTGTCCTCCGTGTCATATTCTCTGTATGCTGCACATCGTGACGGGTCGTGTTGAGGAGCGAGAGAAAAAAAAGGTAAGTTTTCTTTTTGCTACTACTAGGTAATTCTATTGATAAAATAAAAATAAATGAATCTACCACTAAAAAATGGAAAGGTACACTATCACACTCATATTAATAGGATGCACAAAATCGAATGAATCTATTCATAAACTACGGACATATTCACTATTTGTGAGTGTGTGTATATGTGTGTATGTAACCCATTGTGTGTATAATAGGAACATGTGTATATATATATATATATATATATATTTATATAGTCAAGTAGTATATATATATATAAATATGTGTGTGTGTGTCGTCGAATCCAGCCCCTCTGCGCTATGCCGAGGAGGGGCGAATGATGGCCCTTGGGTACACGTGGCATCTGTGATGGGGATCGAGGTTGTGAGTGAGGCGAGAGACGTACCTG